TTTTTGCAGCCAATTATTGCAAAAGATACACACAGCATAGACGCAAGAAGAGGAACAGCAGTCTGCTTGAAGCTCATGTGGACTGAGGTCTACAGACGTCTTTTATTCTTCACACAAAACCACTCATTTCCAGCTCGTAAGAACACGTACTCAAACCTTTATTTTTTCCCAAATGAACACGCATTAAACTCGTGGTGGCGACTGTGGATTGCTCGGCTACTTGAAGTCACACGATACACAAGAATGGCACCAAAAGACAAACGAGTTCTGACACAAACGAAAGAAAACCCATCAAGTGAAGCCCGTTCTGGAGAGAGAGTTTCGATCAGTTCATCCAACACAATACAGAGTTGCTTTAGTTTCAGTATTTACAGCTCGACACTTAGTTGATATTACATCTCTGCATCTGTAAAGACGTTTGTGAGCTCACTGGTGTGTCTGACGGAACAGAACACTCTTGAGCTGGAGTCTAAACCTAAAGATGAGACTAATCTTGCGTCTGTCAGTTTGCAGCATGCATCGTTCAGCGAACACAACGGGGTCAGATTCAGCAGCAGCGAGCGATTCGGTCCGAACTGTGCAAACGCCGCTCCAGTGAACATCCGGACGCTTGCAGATGAAGCCCAGCTTTAGCAGAAATCACAGAAGCGCAGCCTCTCTACACACAGCAACACATATGATCGTCTGCATCTGTCCTTTATACCCAAAGCAGATGGTGTGTGTGTGGCAGTGATCAAAGGCCGTCAGGTTCGAACCGTGTTTACATGTGCATGCCAACAGGAGGATCCGGTTCTTCGATCTCCTCCGGAGACGTAGAAACTAACACTAGTACAGACAGAGTGCGATATAAACTCACGAGACACACTTTACACGCATCCAGATGATCCTGAGATTCACACACTACAGACGAGATGCGGACGGAATCTGCGGAGACGGGAGAATGCGGCAGCTCGTTTAAGGCATCGGATTGGTTCTGTCGTTCGTCCGCTTAATAAGAGCGTGTATGGGAGTAAATGAGTGAAGGGTTGTCCTCCGCGGCCGCCGCTCGGTTGGGTTTTGGTGTCGATGTAGCACGTCTGTCAACACTGATATGAGGAGCGTCGGACCTGGAGGAAAACAGAGCGAACACTAAAACCAAAATCAGCATTTGTGTTACTTGACATATAATATTAAATGAAATAAAAAATGTAAAAACCTTTTTTTCCCAGCTAGATGCACAGGCATCATGATGCACTAAAATAAGACTAAAACTGAAATAAGCATCCATCCATCCATTCATCCATCCATCCATTCATCCATCCATCCATTCACCCATCTATCCATCCATTCACCCATCTATCCATCCATCCATCCATTCACCGATCTATCCATCTATCCATCCATTCACCCATCTATCCATCCATCCATCCATTCACCCATCTATCCATCCATCCATCCATCCATCCATCT